TTTGAACCTCTACTTTATACAACAAAAAAATGAGATTCCAGAATATAAGACCTGCATCCAACTATTAAATTATGGGCTGTTTAGCTCTAAAATTAATCCTCTTTCCCCTATACCACAATACTTCCTCTTCAAATAAGTATAACTGAATCTTACAGCAATGGTCCTCATCTTAGGCTGCACAGTAGAATCACCTTTAGAAGAAGTTCAATTATTTGCATTTTTTAAAGGTCCCCCAATGATTTAGATACACAAAATTTGGAAACCACTGATTTAACACAATTATTAGACTTGTGATAGAGAAGTTTAATAAAATGTGTAGAACTGCTTAACAGTATAGAAATGGACTGCAGAAATTTTGAATTATTCAACTTTTTTGTTTTTTCACTGTACAGTTTGCTTTCTTTATTGAAAATTGTCTACTTTATAGTTTCAAAGTTTTAGTTTTTATTTTCCATGTAGATTATAAGAGCTAGTGCATTTGTTTTTGTTTTTAAATAGTTTATTGTCAGGTTGGTTTCCATACAACACCCAGTGCTCATCCCCACAAGTGCCCTCCTCCATGCCCATCACCACCCTTCCCCACCCCCCCACCCCCATCAGCCCTCAGTTTTTTCTCGGCATTCAAGAGTCTCTCATGGTTTGCCTCCCTCCCTCTCCCCCACTATTTTTCCCCTTCTTCTCCCCCATGGTCCTCTGTTAAGTTCCTCCTAATCCTCCTATACGTGCAAACATACAGTATCTGTCTTTCTCTGCCTGATTTATTTCACTCAGCATAACACCCTCAAGTTCTATCCATGTTGCTACAAATGGTGAGATGTCATTGTTTCTCATTGCCATGTAGTATTCCATTGTATAGATAAACCACATCTTCTTGATCCATTCGTCCGTTGATGGACACTAAGGCTCTTTCCATGATTTGGCTATTGTTGAGAGTGCTGCTATGAACATTAGGGTACATGTGCCCCTATGCATCAGCACTCCTGTATCCCTTGGGTAAATTCCTAGCAGTGCTATTGCTGTGTCTTCTATTGGGAGTTCTATTGTTAATTTTTTGAGGAACCTCCACACTGTTTTCCAGAGGGGCTGCGCCAGTTTACATTCCCACCAACAGTGTAGGAAGGTGCCCATTTCTCCACATCCTCGCCAGCATCTAGAGTCCTCTTATTCAGTCAACTTTTAATAAATTTCCTCTCTTCTGCCTCACTTGTCAAGATGCCAGCATATTTTTATTGACTATTGTCATCAGTGTGCCCATATCTAATGACCAGCACACCCTTCCTATGACCACCATCTAATTTGCTGTTTATCTGCTGTGTTCTGAGACAGGAGAAAACCAAGCTAATTTAAAAAGTGTGTAAAATTAAAGCAAACACATTCTGTGGGAAAGCCTATCTTATCAGTAAAGTACATGAGATTGTATGTAGTTCATGAACTTAGTGGTATCAACTTTAGTTACTCAGAGGCCTTTTCTGATTAACTTCTGATTCTTAACTTTGTTCCTGATTCTACATAGTTATATATAAACTATTCTCTCATTGGGAAATAATTATTCCTTCACATCTGCCTCCCTAACTAGCTTATGAACCCGATGAGTTCAGGAGCCACATTTTATTCATCTTTGTACCTTAGCATCTACAACAGTGTCATGCACACAGCAAGCTCCCAATGAATGTTTGCTTCCAAAATGACTCAAAGGGGCTGCCATGAGTGAAAGGGGATGATATAGAGTAATTTGTGGCAACATGCATGTAACCTTTCATTAAAGAATAGGAGTTCTAGGCTATATAGCTGCTGGTTTCTCAACCAGAGTATTACGGGTTATCAGGACTCTGGTAAGGTAACCACAGGCACAGTCTTTGTGTCCCTTAACTCTGCAGTTAATCTGTTGCTATTAATTAAACTTAAGTATTTATCAACTCTAGCCACTTGGGGTATAATAGTAGACAAGAACTATCAGATCACTCTATCTCCCAATATCCCTCAAATGTATTTACGCCTCTCCATTGTCGTTGCTTCCACCCAAGTTCAGGTGACCATCATGTCTCTACTGAAGAACTCAAATTCATCTCCCTCCTTTCATGTTTATTCCACAATACCACCAAAGTAAGTTTTCTTTAGTTTTTAAAACATTTTATTTATTTATTTATTTATAGACAAAGAATGTGAGCAGAGGAGGGTCAGAGAGAGAGGGGTGGAGGTGGGGGGGTGGGGAGAGAGACAGAGAACATCCCAAGCAGACTTTGGCACTGTCAGCCTGAAACTCACATGGTGTTCAAACTCACAAACTGAGATCATGATCTGAGCTGAAATCAATAGTTGGACGCTTAACCGACTAAGCCACCCAGGTGCCCCAAGACGGCCAATGCTGAATTTATGGTCCCTGTACCCCTGGACTTCTAATTATGTGAGCCAATAAACTATCTTATCATTTAAGTCAGTTTGTAGTCCAAACTGTCACTTGTAGTCCAAAGCCTCCTGATACCGTCTGAGAAGGAATACAGAGAAAATCATGTTGATGATGAACACAACATGTCATCCTTTCATTTTGTAGCCTAATCAAAAATTAACCTTAAAAAAATAGCAAAATGAATCACCATTATAAAAGAATACAGACCTTTAATGCAACTGGTAAGGCATTAAAACTACATCAAATAATTCAGATGTATTTTCTAAAAAAAAATAAAGGTATTCAGATCTCACTGGATAGAATGAACAGTAAATTAGACTTTATAGAAGAAAATACTAATGAACTGAAAGGCACAGCAATATAAAATATCCAGAAAGAAACATAGAAAGAAAAAAGACTAAAAAAAAAAAAAAAAAAAAAAAAAAAAGAAAAAAAAAAAAAAAAAAACAAAAAAAAAGTAAATGGGCAGGGGGAAGGCTTCACATGGAAAATTATATATGTGATTGGAGACACCAGAGAAGTGGAAGAGGAAAGAAAAAATATTTGAAGAAGTATGGTCAAAATTCTTCTGATTTTGATTAAAAAATATAAATCTATAGATCTAAGAATCAGCATATCATAAGCAAAAGAACCATGAAGAAAACTACATCAAAGCACATTATAATCAAATTGTTTGAAACCAGTGATAAAATCTAAAAAAGCAGCCAGAGGAAAGAAACATGATGTACAGAAAACAAGATTTAAAAATTACAGCAGACTTTTCCTCAGAAAGAATGTAAGTCAGAAGACAGTGGAACATTTTTAAAGTAATCAAAGGAAAAAAAAAAAAAAGATGAACCTAGAGTTCCCTACCCAATTAATTTTTTTAAGTTTCTTTATTTATCTTGAGAGAGACCAAGGGAGAGAGTGCAAGTGGGGGAGGGGCAGAGAGAGGGGGACAGAGGACCCAAAGCAGGCTCCATGCTGATGACAGAGTCCGATGCAGAGCTTGAACCCCCAAACCGTGAGATCATGACCTGAGCCAAAGTCAGACACTTAACCAACCGAGCCACCCAGGCACCCCCAAACAAATATTTTTAAAAGGAAAGCAAAATGACTTTTTCGGTCACAGAAGTTGGAAGAATTCACTAACCACAAACTCATACTACCAGAACTGTTAAAAGAAGTCGATTAGACAAAATGAACATCACACCGTGTGAAAATATGAACTACAAAGAAGAATGAAGAAACCCAGAAATGGCAATAATTCCAGCCTTTTTTCTTTTTTCTTATTTTTGCAATCTCTTTAAAAGACAACGGAATGCTTAAAGCAAAAATAATAACAATATATGGTGGAGTGTATAACATATGTAGAAGGAAGATATATGACAATAATAGCACAAAGGCCTAGGGGAGAAGGTAAAAAGGTACATGAGAAGAGGAATTATATTACTTGAAGACAGACTATGGTAAGGTAAAGACGTATATTATAAACCCTAAATCCTAAAGCAACCACTAAAATAAAAAAAAAAAAACAGAATTATACCTACTAAGCTAACAAAAGAGATAAAATGGAATATTAAAAATGTGCTCAATTCAAAAGAAGGAAGAGAAAGAGGAAGAGCAAACAAAGAGCAGATGTGACAAGCAGAAAACAAACAGCAAGACAGATTTAAACCTAAGTGTAATCAATATCATATGAAATGCAAATAGCCTAAACACTTCAAATAAAAGGCAGACATTCACACAGGATAAAAAGCAGTTATTTATAAAAAGACTGGATATAAAATATAAAGACATAAAGGCTAAAACTAAAAGGCTAGAAAAACATCTATAATGCTAGCACTACTCAAAAGAAAGCTGAAGTAATTATATTAATATCAGACTAGTAGATTTCAGGCCAAAGATATGTGTAGCAACATGGATAGACCTTGAGGGTGTTATGCTGAGCGAAATAAGTCAGGCAGAGAAGGACAAATATCATATGTTTGCACGTATAGGAGGATTAGGAGGAACTTAACTGAGGAACAAGGGGGAGAAGAAGGGGGGAAATACTGGGGGAAAGGGAGAGAGGCAAACCATGAGAGACTCTTGAATGCTGACAAAAACTGAGGACTGATGGATGTGGGGGGGAGGAGGGGGATGGACACGGAGGAGGGCACTTGTGGGGATGAGCACTGGGTGTTATGTGGAAACTAATTTGACAATAAACTATTTGTAAAAAATAAATAAATAAATAAATAAAAGAAAAAAAAAGATTTCAGGCCAAAGAATATAATTAAGGATAAAAAGAGTCATTTAATAATGAAAAAGGGTCAATTCATCAACAATACATAACAGTCCTAAACATTTATGCATCTACTGAAGCCAGTCCAGCAAAACAAGAATACAGAAAGATGACTTTTCATGGTTAAAATGCAACATCAGCATTCCTGAATCAAAAGTGAACACTGCCAAAATGGAGCTTAAGATCTTCTTTATGTGATAAGTGGCATACAATTTTACTAATAAAAATGCAGTACTCCCGAAAGGGTCAAAGGTAGTACTATGTGAAATGTCAAAATATTTATGACTTAATGCCAAGTCTGATCAAAGTGATCTAAAGTTGACTCACCTTTCATATTGCCTATCGCGTGGCAGTGAAGCACCCCAATGTCGAAAGTCCATGATTAACATAAGTAAAAGGAGGCAGGATATGAAGAAGAGTCCTAGGAATGCCACCCTCTGACGGGGAAATGGGTTCACTGTGGGCACAGTGAAGTACCAGGAGGCTGGACAGAGGTAGGAAAAACTGATTCTGAAATGAGACAAACATTAGTAAGAAAAGTCTCTACAGGTGAGTGCTTTAAAAAAAAAAAAAAGTTTTTAAACTGTATTAAAGCCCTTCCTAATAAAGGCAAAAATTTATGCCACCACAAGTCTACAGATGTTCTTTTGGTCTCAAATTTTAGAAAAGGACCTATATAATTCATGGTGCTTCTACTATAAATCAGAAAAGCCTTATCTGCTCTTTTCCCAATATCTGCACTTTTGGGAGTAATTCAAAGAATTACAATTCTCATGTTTATGAAAAGATCACCAGTCTCCCTGGTCAACCTCGCAACATTGAAGAATCAGAGCAACTACAACATTCCCAACAAGAATGATGTCAAAAAACTGGATAGTCTGAATATTTATTCAACTAATTAAAAAACATTTTAATCGGTAATATATGCATATGAAACCAATTTAAATGGACATATAGAGGAAAATGAGTCTTTTGCCTTAATCTACCATTTCCTACTGAAAGGCAAGCACTGATGCCCAGTTTCTACATGTATTTCCAGGGTATTCTATGTCTACACAAGCACAAATATATATCATATATGACAGTATACATGTGTGTATCGCATTCCTCTGGTTTTACACTGTACCTACTGTTCTGCATCTTTCCCCACTTAACTCTATTTGACAACTGTTCCATTTGGTACATGTAGGTCCACATTAATCTTTTCTGAAAGTTCCAGATTATCACACCATATGGATATACATATTCAACTATGAAGTTCACTTCCTATACTGATTCAGAAGGACTTCAGTCTACTTTCAAATAAAAAGAAAAAAAAAATCTCTGTTTAACCTCCTCAAAAATCAGGGAGGTTCACCCAAAAGGAAATCCGAAAGAACAGGACATTTTAGCACTTTCCGGAGCCGAGCAAGCACTCACTCTACTACCCTGGGGTTATGGGCTGTAAACTATGGTAGCATATGCCTTCCATAAAAAAAAAGAAAAAGAAAAAAAAGGTAACTTTGATCTTCTCTGCATCCATCCGAGCAAGCAGCAAAGTCCAGAAGCAGCACTAGGACAAACCTCACTTGTACAAACCTCCCAGGGCCCCTCAACCTACCTGCCACCCCCAACTGCGCCCCAACTGAGCCCCTAGCTGAGGAGAAAATGTGCAGCCTTACCTAGCCATGGGATCCCTTCAGTGGTCTCAGTGCCTGTCACCTCCTTTTCTTTTTGCCCTGAGAAATTGGTCTCCTTGTCTCAGGCATCTCCTAAGTCTGCAGCCTGTTAAGAGTTCGTTGGATTTCAGGCTTACCTCCAGCAGTGCCCAGAGGACAAGACCTCCGAGGGAAGGCCAAGGCGCCCGCCCACTCCAGATGCGTCCGCTCTGGTTCCTGGGACCCAGCTGGCTCTAAGCCGGCTCCCGGAGAGCCGGGCGTTCTCGAGGAACCGGCGATCCCCAGGTGGCAGGGGTTGGAAGGCCCACTCTCCCTCCCCGCCTGTCCCAGCCCCGCGGCCCTCGCGCGCTCGCACTCACGGGTCGAGAGGTCCGCAGTCTCCCTTGGCACCGTTCCGCTCGGTCCAGAGCGGTTCCCCGAGGCCTTTAGCCCAGCCGGAAAGAAGACTAGGCAGGCGGCGGCGCCACGTCCCCAAGGAAACCGCAGGGAACCAATGACTGACAGGAGAACCGCGGAGAAAGGCCCACCCTCCACCCAGCGGGAGCCTCTGGCGAACCAGCTCCGCCAGCCCCACGTCCGTTCGCCAGAGTGGCCAATCCCCAAGAGCGTTCGGCCTCTAATCCCCGCCCCGGGGTTTCGAGCGCATCCAATCCGGAAGGGCATCATACCGTAGCTCCGCCTCGATGGGCCCGTGGTGAGAGCGCAGGTGAGCGGTGTCGAGCGGTGGGAGTATGCTCTGCGCCAGCCGCCCTCTCGGCGGCGCGATTTCTCAGCTGGCTGCTTTCGACGCTGCCGCTTTCGGAACTGAGCAGCTCGGGTGGATCTATCTTGCAGTGGCCGCGAGCGGAGTGCCTCCCTTTCCCACAACCAATTGGTGGTATTGTGTCCAACAACCCTGATCGCCGGAATCAAACCTTTGCTATAGCCTCCTAGACTCATGCCCTGGATTCCTTGTCTTGTCCTGTTACAGAAGCATAAAGTGGAGACAATATCGTCTACACCGAAGCGCTTATATCTATTCATTCAGCATTCATTGAATGTCTGTGTGCCGTACATGAGCCGCTGTGTCCCTGCTCTCTCGGACCTTACAGTAATACATACAAAGGTAATGTTTCCTTAATGTTTTTCCTCCTTGCTTACACCAGCAGTTTCTCTCATTTCCAGGAGTGAGTCATTTGGACAGGATCAAGTCCAAGTCCTTACAGACGTTGCATATACGTGGCCGTTCACGACCTGCCCATGCAGCTTCTGCTGCTCCTCACCTCCCTGATTATACCTCAAGAATGCACATATATCTGTGGCTTCTGCTCTCTTAAGCTTTGCTCATTCGACCTCTTCCAGCCTTCCATCTGCCTTGAATACCCTTACCCCCTCGTAGCCAAGCTACCTCATACTCATCCCTTACTACTCTCAACTTAGGGGGTCACCTCCCCTAAAAGTCTTATTTGACCTTCAGCCCTGTCATATATACCTATTGTTTCTCTTGCCATATTGCATGTCTGTCCCAACAGACAGAATATGCTTGAAGGCAGAGACTATCTGCTTCCACAGCAATGCTGGGCACTGTCTGGCACATACAATACAGCTAATGTATGATAAGTAAGTGAATGAATGGCTGTGGAAATAAATGAAGACCACCAAAATGAGATTTCAGAAAAGAAGCTCTTTATTCTACACCTGCTATAGAAGGCAGTCAACCACCATCACTTGTGTCTGGCAGAGACCCAAGGCTGTCAGGGGAATGGGAAAGCTAAGAAAGAAAGAGAGAGAGAGAGAGGGAGAGAGAGAGAGAGGGAAAGAAAGAAAGAAAGAAAGAAAGAAAGAAAGAAAGAAAGAAAGAAAGAAAGAAAGAAAGAAAGAAAGAAAGAAAGAAAGAAAAAGAAAGAAAAGAAGAAAAGAAAAGAGAGAGAGAGGGAGGGAGGGAAGGAAGGAGGGAAGGAAGGGAAAGAAAGAAAGAAAAAGAAAGGAAGGAAGGAAGGGGAGAAAAAAAGGAAGTATGCTCTGATTTGAGAGTGTTAGCATGGGCATGGGGAAGCTGGTGGTGGGCTTACTAGGAGCAGGGCTTATGTGATTGTGGGGGCCATATTTGGCTTTCTCATATTTGGTCCTAAGTTAGAAGGCAAGGAAGTGGGTTGACCAGTAGTGAGAACTCTGGGCTGATTGCTACAGAGGTTATAGATCACAATTCTAATCATCATATATGGTCTGTCATTGTCCAGTTTGTGTGTATAGGCTCTCCCCACTATTGTATTTTCCCTCCTTTCCCCTCCCAAACTAGATGGGCTTCCTAACTTGCCTTTCCCCTTCAATTTTCGATTCTCTTTTCTTCTTTGTCCTTCAAACCCTACTCTGCATCAGGTGTTGTATTTTATCAGGGCCCCCAGGAATCACATTGGATAGAATAGTTGCATAAAGTTGGGATTACCTGCAAAATTATACAAATATCAGGCATTTCTATTATTCCAGAACCTAGTTCAGGTAAACATGGGAAAAACTCAACAAATGTTTTGGAATATACATTCTTTTTTTTTAAAGTTTTATTTATTTAAGTAATCTCTACACCCAACATGGGGCTCAAACTCACAACCCTGAGATCTAGAGTCCCATGCTCTTCTGCATGAGCCAGGCAGGTACCCTATATTTTTTTAAATCTTCAGTTTGCCTGCCAACTGTGCAGTTCTGTCTAACCTATGTATATTTCACACTCCAGTGGTTCACTAAACAGGTATTTTTGAGTGGAAATGGAATTCCTATTTATGTTTTAAACAGTACTTAATTCATATGATTTGTGAACTATATTAACTTAGAGGTTGAAGGTACATTGAAACATCTTCTAACTTACATTTCATAACTACTGTTATAAAACAGAAAGAAACCTACATTTTAATCCCAATACCTCATTATACCTTCTTTGGCCATTTCATTTGGATAATACTTCCTTCAGTAAGTCTGTGTGCATTCAGTAATTTGTAGAGCATGATTCCTTACAAAAGCCTGCAATGCTTATCTGATTAACAGCTCAGAGGGCTGAGTGCTGAGGTTTCCAGTCAGAAGGCCAAAAAAAGTGGGTTGAGATCATTTCCCCATCTCATTTGCTGTAACTCTCAACATGTTGAAACCAATTACAGAAATCCGTATCTCAAAACAGGTCTTTAACTGCTTTTTAAAGACTTGTCTACAATTACATTTACAATTTTCTCAAGAAGCCCTTGACTCTACCCAGCTCTAAGCAAAATCATCCAAACCAGTCCCGCGCTCCGTATCAGTTGGTCTCTATCACTTTATTTCTCCTTAGTTCTCCTTCATTCCATACTCCATCCTGCCCTAATCTCTAAAGGAGTTGAAGTACTATGGTCTTCACTCTCCTTTCCAAGTTTACTCATCTTTCTTCATGTGCCATGTAGGCACCTCATTGTCCACGACCAAAGTCATAGTCTCTCCATGCTTACTTTATCCACCCAAATCTCCTCCAGTCATATTCTAACTTTGATGAACTGCCGTGTGAGTCACCCAAGCAGAAATTTGCAAGTCATTTTAGAATTTCTTCCTTCTACTTCCTTTGTGCTGTAGGAGAGCAAAATTTGTTACCTCAAAATGTGTCTGTAATGTGTCTCTTTCACATGTGGATTGTTTTATGGTGATTATTTTTAACAAACAGAAGACTCAGGAAGAATTCTTCAAACACCCCACCCCCACCCGCAAACTGCATAAAAGAATTTGGAGAGAGGACCTGCTCCAGGAAGGGAGCTATCACCATAAAACTACAGTATAATATGGACCAGGTGCAGTAGACAGAGAGGAACTTAGCAGTCTGTTTAGTAGAATTCTTCTCTGTGTCCCATTTTTTCCTGTATGGCCCAGCAAACATTTGTTTACCAAACATTTACTCTTTTTCATCTTCCTGTGATGTGTCCTCCTTCCCATGGAAGTCCCAGCTCAGAATGACACAGAAGCCCCAATTGCCTGACTACCTGTGGGCCTCATAGTCTCATGTGATCCCTATCTGTATGTAATTAAATTTTATTTTCTCCTGTTAATCTGTCTCATTTCAATTTAATTCATAGATCAGCCAAAAGAATCTTGAAGGGCATAGAAAAATTTTTCCTCCACAACACCTATTTCATCCAGTTAGTGACTAGTTGTCCTTAATTCAAATGCCTAAAATCCTCTGCAAAATCTTCTGATGAAGCCTTGTAGCTGGAGGCTCATGGCTCTCCTTAGAGCCCCTCCATTGTGATATAGTGAAATATAATCATGCTAATTCCTATTTTAAAATCTTGTGTTTCCCCATCCCAATGGGATATAGTCCAATTTCCTTGGCATGGTACAGCAGATTCTGCTAACTGCCTACCCAAACACCACCAATCTCTCTTCCCCCTTATTAACAGAATCTCAGTTTTATTCTTGTAACCACACTGCTATGCTTGGCCATGTGCTTAAAGAGTACTAGGCTCCGGGGGAACTTGGGTGACTTAGTTGGTTAAACGTTCCACTTCAGCTCAGGTCATGATCTCACAGTTTGTGGGTTTGAGCCCTACGTCGGACTCTGTGCTGACAGCTCAGAGCCTGGAGCCTGCTTCAGATTCTGTGTCTCCCCTTCTCTCTGCCCCTTCCCTGCTCATGCTCTGTCTCTCTCTGTTCCTCAATAACAAATAAATGTTAAAAAAAAAAAAAAGAGTTCTAGGCTCCAAGTCCAGTCCCAGGAAATAAACTGTGAAGGGCTTAAGTTAATCATGGTGTTCCACTCCCTAACCAAATATTGAGCCTGGGCATATGATGCAATTCTAGCCAAGGATACTGAAGGGAAGCCAGCTGTTGGGAGGAATGGGATGGAGGGAAAACATTTCTGGGAGACGTTTTCCCCAACTTAAAAAGATTATAAAAAGTTGACATAATGAGAGTGAGAAGAGAAAGCCCCTTTTCTACCCCCAGAAGTAATCTCAAGGATATGATGCTTGGAGCTTCTGTAGCCATCTTACAACCATAAGGTGCTGTAGTCAGGGGTGGGAGGAAGCCTGGGAATAACAGAATAGAAACACAGAAAAATCATGGGTGCTTGGTAAATCATTAACATCATTGCTAACTTAACCAACCCAGGAGCAGCCCTACTGTGGACTTATTATTTGAGATAGTAAATTCATTACTGCTCTTACTTTTTAAGTCAGTTGAATCAGGGAGTTCTGTCACCTGGACTCTCCTAACTGATGTATGTGGCTTCCAGTGCCTGATATGATCTAGCCCCCACATCCTCTGAGCTCCCCAACAGGTATTCTCACCCACAGCTCTGACATAGTTACAGTTCTCAGAATTATGCCTTCTCTTACCCTTGAGCCTTTGTACTTGCTATTGCTTCTGCATAAATGACTTTCTTTCACTTCTTTACCAAATGAAGTCCTGCTTATTCTTCATTTTTTTTTAAATGTTTCATTTATTTCTAGGAGAGAGAGACAG